TTCAACTTGAGCTAGCTAGCTAGTTTTCCTTATTGGATCATCTAATGATCAATTAAGGTGCTAGCTAACTAGGTAGGAGTGATTAGTATGTGTGCCCACGAGCTATGCATGGTACTGATGTCCAGGTTAATCTCCCATCTCTCTGGAGCAACTTACCTGGTAGTAAGGTTTACATAGGGTGTTGTTTAGCTATGTAGCTTGGCAAATCTCATTTCTCCTTCATCGATAAGGTTTCTAATGAGATCGAGTAGCAGGCGAGGTTAATTAATGCGTGCAATATATATTGTGATGAATAATTGGATGTAATATACGGTAAGAGCTAATAGAAAGCCGAGTGATTTTAGCTGGAGAATTTCTTGTACAATTTTAATTATACAGTCCGTAATTATGGGGTTGAATTATGAATTGTCTGCACTTGTTTTTTATTTTTTCCCCAGATGTTAGATGGCTTTATTTTACAACAGCTATGAGTAGAATTCATACTATTGATTGATCTTTAATTAGCAGGAAATGATAACTGTTCAAGTACAAAGAGAATTAAACAATACCTGCATATATTCCAAGGAAAATGAATTAGTGCCTGATCATATTATATATCTTGCTGCCCAGCCGCCCCAACTAGACGATTGAAGCTTGCCGTGCAGCTGGCACTACATATAAATTCCTGGCTTAATTCAGCATCGATCTGCCTGAAGGTGCATCGATCTGCTTTAAGAGTTTGCCTACATTAATCCAGCTTTCCTAGAATATTTCCCACTTGTTATTTGACGAGCCAGGTTGATGATATAGATTGCTAGGTTTTATTTAGATTCAGCTCCTCTATCTGTTCTTCATGACTATAAGTATATGACTTTTACATGTTATGTAAGTAAATTTATGCTATTGAAATCAAATGAACTTCTGAGATTTTATGTCTAAATTAAATAAGCATTTGTTAATTGATTTCAATACTCGCCCTCTAATTAATGGATGATGAACATATATGGTTCATAATTAATTAATTCTTAACCTAAAGTGGAGAATTCTAGGAAAGCTTGATTGATGTAGACCAAACTTTTAAAGATATGGAAAATCTAGATTGCAACGACATACAATATTACCGTGACATTAATTAAACAGAAAATTAATGCACTGTTCATTTTATTTTTAAAAAATCTCGAGTCTTAGCAATTTATTATGTAATGGAGACATAATTATAACTCATAAAGGAGATTGGAAGGAGATTGTTATAAAGATAGATAGAGACTACTTTTGAATTATAAAGACAGATAGACTACTTTTAAAAATGATCTTTCATATTATTTCAAAACTATATTATGGATTAGTGTGTTATGTAATTAATACAGTGATACCTAATACAAATAGCGTTTACAAAACCTTAAAGGGAGAAATTAGTTTTAGATTGGGTAATGAGAGAAATGTTAGATTCTAGATAAACAAGCTGAAAGGTTTTAGAAATACATTCAAATTTAACTGTATAATCACTTATTATGTCAAGATTCCAATACCATCTCTCCATTTAATCATACAATAAAACAACTCATGCATATATAGATGATACAAGATGTCAAGATTATAGTTATGTAACTCTTTAACTTTCTTTGCCACTTTAAGTTCAATATTTGGACCCACACATGATAGATGATACAAGATGTCACTTTAACTTTCTTTGTCTTTCATATTATTTCAAAACTGCACTATCAATTAGTGTGTTGTGTCATTAATACTGTGATACCCAATACAAATGATGTTTGAAAAATTTTAAAAAGGAAGAATTAGTTTTAGATTGGGTAATAGGAGAAATGTTAGATTTAGACAGACAGATAAAAAAGTTTTGAGAAAATTATCCTCTTAATAGTGGCACATCCAAATTTAACTGTGTAATTACTTATTGTGTCAAGATTCCAACACTGTCTCTCCATTTAATTATAAAATGAAACAACTCATACACAATGATAAAAGGTGTAGAGATTGGAGTTATGTACCTCTTAACTTTCTTGGTCGCTATAAGTTCAATCCTGGGACCAACACATCATAAATTATTGTTGTTAGTTTGGAAGTTCTAGTGTAGAGGCAAGAAAATTTCTTCTTTATAATTTCATAACCTCATATTTCATATCATTTCAAAACTACATCATCGATCAATGTGTCATGTAATTAATACTGTGATACCCAGTACAAATGGTGTTTAAAAGACCCTAAAGAGAGGAATTAATTTTAGATTGGGTAATGAGATAAATGTTAGATTCTAGACAGACACATGGAAAGGTTATGAAATTATAAAGAAGAAATTTTTCATCTTATGAAATTCTATGGAGGATTGGGGTGACCAGAAATAACGTGGTGTTTCAGGAAAAAGATTCGAAATAAAATCGTGTTTTCCATATTATACTTTAAAGATTGACTATTTGGTTAAGGTTTGCAAATATAAATTTTCTTTATACAAGTCTGGATCTATATAGGAGCTTTCTTTAGTTTTTTTTTTTTCAATTTTCTCTTTGTTTATGTACACGAACATAACTTTTTTGTTTTCTTCTAGTTAGCTAAGTCTTTTTGGCACTAGTTTTTACATAAAATCTTAATTATTACAAAAAAATAAATAAATTATATATGTAATGAAGACGAGATAGTAGTTCAAGGTTCATTAAACTTCTCACTCAATCTAGGCTAATTAATTAAAAAATAAACAATTTAATATGTTTTATGCCTTTTCATCTATATTGGACATGCTGGCTTGATTTTCATTGAACAAAGCCTCGTGAGTACCATGTTAGGACCACATTTCCATAATCTTAAAGAAAAAGCAAACAAATTGCAGCAACATTGGTGGAGGAATAAAGGATGCCGCCACTAACATGGTGACCGATAATTAAATAATGATTAAGTTAATAAATCATCACAAATATGCTTTCGCAACGATATTTTTTGCTGAAGAAGAGAAGTACAGTTATTTTCCTTTTTTGGATGGTAGTTATAATGCATGTTGATATAAGCATATTTTAACATGTAAATGTTGCAAATTAGAAGATGTAGGAATATTTTAGCTTTGAGATATAGACAGGCTTGTTTTATTAATTGATTTTTTAAGTTTAAATATCATCATTTCAAAAAAAAAAATAAATCTATAAACCCTGCAGATCAATGTAAAATTGCATTCTTAAGATTCTTCGAGAGAGAGAAAAAAAAAAAAACTTAATCTTAGTTGATATATAATCTAATCTAAAAATATATATCCTTATTATCAAATAAAAACAAATAAATTATACCTTTACCATTAGATGCTTGTGTAATGTGATTCATACTAAATTGTTAAAATCCACCATTATATTTTATAATTTGTTCCATTAATGATCATAAGATTCTCTTTTCTTTTTTATTGGTGTTGATGATAACATCAAATGATTCTTAGTAGGAAAATCTCTCAACCCTTTATATGTGTTGCCTAACCCCTAAATATCCTACTCCCCCTCTCTTCATATAATTCGTAATCCTATATATTACCGAAGTGCAAATCTTCAACCAAGTTAATTATGAAATATTAACTTTACCGAAGTGAAAAGAAGATGTTAAAATCTAGAATATTGGTAGGAATGGAAAATTTACAGTAAAATCTAGCTGTGCCTTGATTGACAGGTTGACATGTCAAGGTGACGAAGCTTTTCACTTAGTTAAAAATTTATTTTAATTTTATAGGTTAAAGTTTTAGATGGAATTTTAAAATATAATTTATTTTATTTTTTAATATATTATCTTAAGTAAAAGTATTTTAAATTTGAAAATTATATAGATTCATATTATTTTATATTTAATTTTTATTAAATAAATAAAATAATAAAATTCAAACTTATCATCATTTAATTATTAAAGTTTTGATATAATGTCAAAAAATCTATCTCAAACTAATAAATTAAATTATTAAATAAAATTTTAAAATATAATTTATATTATTCTCCAAAACATTTCAAACATCTAAAGTGGAGTGGAGTGACACCGCTGAAAATACAGGGTTTTTTTTTATTATTATTAATGGTTAGCATTACAAAATCATCTGATTGCAAGAGACTCTTTTCTCAGCTGACACCTTGTTTCATTGGATCAAGCTTCATGCTCGTTTTGTGCATCAGAGATAGAGTCGGCAGATCATCTTCTCCTTCAATGCTACTTTGCTCGGAAACTATGGACAAAGTTCCCTACATGGTAGAGGTGGTGCGTTCCAAAGACTATGGATCGGCTTCTGGTTCGATGGCCAACATTGACACATGAGAGATTCCAGAGGAAAGCATGGAACCTCTCTTCATATGGCATTGCTTGGAGTATTTGGTTAAGCAGGAATCACCTAATCTTTAACTAAATACAGCCGAACTAGGAATCATGTTTTTCATTAATTCCACACTGGCTATCAGCTTGGTTAAAGAGCTGTGAAGAAAATTTTGGTTACACGGATAATAATTTGTTAAGAAATATAGATAACATTCACAAATAATCATTAAATTATTAGATAAACTTGTTGAGTAGACTCGTGTAGCATTGTTTGGTACTCAAGTATAGACCCATCATTATTGAGCCATGATAAGTAATGGGTTAAAATGCTAATTAAAATTTAATAAAAGATAATACACTATTACAAATTACAATTACAATTAAAAAAAAACCTAAATTACATGGACGTGAGTTATTATACCTTCTCTTGAAATTCATAGTAGATCTTAATAATTACTTTTTTTTTCTTTTTTCTTTTAAGTTTGGTCATCAAATTTGATAAATAGAATTAATTAATTAAAGATTAGCTAGATTTTATTCGAGATTTTTATTGAAATTATTAAAGATATAAGAGAGTCATTACCCTAAATTAATTTTCTCTTTTCTTCTTTTACATGTGAGGAATAATAATCGTAAATGGTTGATCTAATGTACCATAAAATTAAGAACTACAACATATACTACCAAAGGTCTGTGAATATTTAACACATCTCCAACATGCTTTAAAATTGGTGTCATACATGCCCAACAATATGAAGACTCGAATTACAGGTGCTCTCTTCCTTGGAGCCATTTTCGCCATTGTTGGACTTAGAGCCATTAATGGCTCTCAAGCAAGAATTTTACCAGGTACTTAACTAACTTATGCTTAGATATATTATCACGTTTCACTAAAATTCATACACGTTTGTCTCACCAGTTGTTTCTTGATTAAAAACATGTTGAATTGCTTGCATATTCTAATTAAAATCTCTTTTGTTCATGTGCTGCAGATAGCTTTCGACTCAAAGTAGCAATAATAGCTGCTTATGGAAGGAGTTACAGCCCACCACCTCCATCTCCGATCCCTTCACCAAGTTCCAAGGAACTTAACAGCAATTACGAGAAGTATTCGTCTCCGCCACCACAATCTCCAAAAATCGATCCACCAATCGGTCAAGTAACCATTAGTAATGGACGGACCACGCCATCACCTCCACCCCCGAAGCCTGCTTCACCAAAAGGCGAGCTTGAGATTGGTTCTCCATGCACTGATGGGACTCCATGCAACGATGGCCACATTTCGATGATAACAAATTTTGAAAGGCCTTTACCAAGTTCAAACACATTTCGATGATAACAAATTTTGAAAGGCCTTTACCAAGTTCAAATCCACCTCCAGACCCAGCGACTCCTATAATTCAAATAACCTTTGATCCTGAGCTGAAAGTGCGTGCAAGATCACCACTAGGACCTGAGGGGATTTTGAAGGAGCTCTTTTCCTCTGGCAGAATGTTTATTTTTTCATATCTTGTATAACTTTCTCCCATGTTATTTCAGACAGAACTCCATCAACTTGATGGGGTATTGCATTCATCAATAAAATTCGACTATTATATATACATATAAAAAAAAAATCGACACCAGGGGAATATATATATTAAACTTGAGCTAACTGGCTAGTTTGCTCTATTTGGTCATTAATCAATTAATTAGTTAACTAGGTAGGAGTGATTAGTATGTGTGCCTGCGAGCTATGCATGGTCCTGATCGCCAGGTTAATTTCCGATCTCTCTGGAGCAACTCACATGGTAGTGAGGTTAACGTAGGGTGTTGTTTTAGCTAGATAGCTTGGCGAATCTCATTTCTCCTTGACTGATAAGGTTCTTAATGAGATCTAGTAGTAGGCGAGGCTAAATAATGCGTGTAATTTATAATGTGATGGATGTGATATATGGAAAGAGCTAAAAGAAAGCAGAGTGGTTTTAGCAGGAAACTTTCATTAGCAGTCCATAATTATGGGATCGAATTATGAAATATTGTCTGTACCTGGTTTTTCTTTACGTTAGATGTTAGATGGCTTTTACCACAGCTATGCGTATCGGAATTTATACAATTGGTTGAACTGGAATTAGCAGAAAATAATAGCAGTTCATGTACAAAGAGAAACAAAATGTACATATATTGCAAGTAAAAATGAATTTTATACAAAACAAGGAGAACGCAAGAAGAAATACGTAGCCCAGCATGCACACACAAGAGCCAAAAGCTAGAGTCCACAACCTGAAATATATTAAGTCCTAACTTAATTAATTATGGCTTAAACTTAATACACCTCCGCATGAATAGTCAAGCTTGTGTTAAACATCATTTTTTTTAACAGTTAATCACCCGCACCAAACTCGAACTTGCAAGGAATCCGTTGTTAACAACAACTAACTTTGACTAATTAATTTTTGGTGCCGGAATGATATGATTTTTAACTAAATTTAGGCTCTAAGTTATGCTGGGTCAGAACGGAACAGCGTTGAATGGTGGGGGGCCATGATACCCTCCCAAACTTTGAGAAGATGACATATTAGTCCTAATATTTTGAGATTGTTTAATTATACCCTTGAGTTGAAAGATTATATATAAGAAATATACCTGCTTTGCCCCCCAAACAAATCATGTATTATCCAATCGGCACTCCCAATTCCTTAATCACTCACACCAAACTTTGAACGTGCATGAAATCCGCAGTTAACACACTACTTTTTATAAACTAGAATATCGAAAACTTACGGGTTTAATTAGTTTCTTTTGATGGATGGTTTAAAAAAAATGCTTGTGCCAATTAGCCCTTAGAATATAGAGAGAAAGGTTTGCTATCATGCATTTTTTTCACATGGGACGACGAACTTTGACGAGAATTTAGCCATTAATTTAACTCGAGCAAGAACTTCATCCGGCGGGCATGTACAGATCACTAGATTCTTGTTTATTTCTGTCCCAGTAATATTATATATATAGCTCAATGTTTTTGTATGATGACAGTTAATTAATGCACTGCGTACTTACTTTTTCTTGGGTTTAAGGGCTCCCTTAGACCTTTTTATATATACAGTGAACATAGATAATTGTATCTAAGTTGATAAATTTGTTTAGATTTAAATTTATATTAGTAGATAAATTTCAGTTTAAAATTTATCTTCCCATAAATTTATTATGATAATTAATTTTATTTTATTAAATTTAATGATCCCTGAAATTTTATAAAAAAAATATTTTTATTTCTTTATTTTTAATGGAAACAAAACACCAGCATAAAATCCCTTGATTTGTATGTATAGGGACTGATCAACAAGGGAAAAGATTTGAAAAACAATAGCAGCACACTCAAAAGCCAGGGTCAAGTCAATTGGGATCCAACATAGCCATCGCCAAAAGCTTCACTACCCTAAATTAACTACGGCTTTTGAATCTACATAAACATAATAATTAACGAGGTGTTAAACTATGATCCTTCTTTATTAAAATCTGTCAAAACTAACCGTATGAGAATAGTAAAACACGTATGGGCTTGGTGTTCATTATTTTTACACATAATTAATCACCCACCAAACTTTGTACATGCGTATGCATTGAATCTGTGGTTAACCATTTTTGACAAAAAAAGTTTAATATAAAGTTATTATCAAATGATTTATAATAATAATTTATTCAAAATTTTAAACCAAATATTAAATCGAGTCGATTCTTAAAACTATGTATATATATACTTATTTAGTGCTTGAATATAAATAAATTATTTTTTATAATGTTATTAATTTTTTTTTTTAAAATTACAATCTCGATTGACAAAAGGCAATTTATTCCAGTGTTTGTCCCGATATTTGACCCAAATCAATTTTTTTCACAAACACGTTGCCGATGCTTTCGGGAATATCGAGATAGAATCACACGCATGGTACCTTTTTGTCTTTCACTGCCCACCAGCCGATGTCTGCTTTTTGGTTAAAACGAAAAAAATAAATGTCATTAGACTGCAGAAGGGCCAAATTTAAGGTCGTCATTTCACGTGGCTCCCAGGAAATTTGGCTGCCATAAAATGATAAGTCATCGCTTAGTGGTCCCTAGCTATAATTTTGAGTTAGGCATGAGGATTTTAACTGATGTCGCCGCCTCTTGTTCTGAGTTAGGCATGAGGATTTTAACTGATGTAGCCTCTTGTTTTGTCCATTGCAGCAAAGATGCCTTTGCTCTCTGTCAAGTCTTTTGACGCGCTTCCAGTAGAGCCTTCATAAAATATTCATTATTTGAGATGCATTAGGTAGCTTCCATGCATTGATATTGTTTTGCATCCTTCCAACTTTATCAGGAATGCTATTTACTGTGATAAAAATTGTTTTTTAAAATATTATTTTATTTAAAAAATATAATTATACCGCAATGTTAAACAAGATCTTAGGCTGCAAGCACTAATGTAGATGGCAAGATTCATAAAAAACGAAATAGCGAAGGGGAATACAAATATTGTTTAGCTCGAAGTTATAAGCAATACACGGGATTAAGTGGTCTGCGTCTCTGGTTCTTGTAATTGAGCATGTCATCTTATTCTGATCTGACAGTGGGGAAATAATATCTCTGCAGAAACAAAGTCTAAGGTTATAATATCCACTAAATTCATCATTGCAAATTCACTTCATTTGCAAATCTTCTTGTGTTTTTCAGAACGAGGTGAAGAACGAGTGGACTACATTCCTGGAATTCCTCCAACGCGTTTAGTTGATTTTCCAAATATATTTCATGGAAATGGTCCACAAATCTTGCCCCGATCTCTAAAGGCTGTTTCACTGGTGTCGAAAGCTCAGTATCTTCTATTCACTTCTTTCTACGATCTTGAAGCCCAAGTAATCAGCGCTTTAAAACCCAAGTTTCCTTTTCCTGTATACCCTATTGGCCCTAGCATACCCTATTTCAAAATCAAAGACACCTCTTCAGTTATTGGCAGTCATCACGATGTGCCGGGCTACATTGAATGGCTAAATTCCCAACCTGAAGGCTCCGTGCTATTCGTTTCAATGGGAAGTTTCCTTTCAGTATCAAGTTCCCGAATGGATGAAATTGTTGCCGGGGTTCATGATAGCGGTGTTCGATTCTTGTGGGTGTCCCGAGGGGAAACAACTCCTTTCAAAGATGGTGATGGTAATATGGGGCTAGTTGTGCCATGGTGCGACCAATTAAGGGTGTTGTGCCATTCTGCTGTTGGAGGTTTTTGGACACATTGTGGGTGGAATTCCTCTCTTGAAGCTGTTTTTGCTGGAGTTCCAATGCTTGCTTCTCCTATATTTTGGGATCAAATTACAAACAGAAAATTAATTGTCGAAGACTGGCAGATAGGATGGAGAGTGAAGGGGGAGGTGGGAAGTGAAATTTTGGTGACACGAGAAGAAATTTCAAAGCTCGTGAAAAGTTTTATGGATGCAGAGAACATTGAGGTGAAAGCAATGCGGAAGAGAGCTAAAGAACTTCAAGAGACTTGTCGTGGAGCTATTGCGAAGGGGGGATCATCTGACGCTAATCTTGAATCTTTCATAAGGGATATTTCACAAGGCCAGGCCAAGTGAGCTGGTTGATTATGAATTAAAGTAGTCTTCAATCTTCATCCTTGAATAATGCATTAATTTTCTAGCTAATTTAAGACCTACGACCATGCATTTTTGGAAATGAATGTGAAATGCATTTTTGAAAATGGATGTGAATTTGTAGCTTTCTTAACGAAATTTGCATAATAACAGAGTATTTGAGTAGACTCTACTACTTATTTTACTTGTGCTTCACTGTTACTCTTATATGAATGTACATGTTTTTCTGACATTTTTTACATAAAAAAATTAGAAGTATAAATCAAAAATTTATACAAGAATCTACTTAAATAAATTAATAATTATCAATATAAATAAATAAATAAAATTATTAACGATAACTAAAAATAAAATTACAAATATCTAAAGATAGATTAGAGCTAAATATTTGATTTCACAACATAAAATCTTTATTCAGTTATGTTTGCTCAAATGTTTATTAAAATTAAATTTTTATTCAATCAAATAATAATAATAATAATAAATATACATATAAAATCTATTAAATAAAATAAAAATACACCATGTAAAACTGTACATATTATAAATATTATTTAAAAATAAATATTTTTATCTTTTAAAATAAAGTTCATTTATTTAATGACATATTAAAATCATAGAGGGATAATGATCAAAACATAAATAAAAAGATATTAAAAAAAGGAAATTAAAAAAATTAATTAGAATAAAAACCAAAATTAGAATTACAAAAGAAAAAGCAATGCTAGTCTAGGTGCCCTAAGTGCATTAAAAAAAACAAGAAGAGAAAAACAAGTGACTTGGTTGCATCCTTGATTGAGTTTAATAAGTTAGAAATGATAAAAACATATAAAATGATAATAATCATATGAGATTTTTATATATAAAAAAGATTACGATAACTTGAATAAAAAACCTCTTGAAAGTATGAAATTAGATAAAACTTGAATAAAAATAAATCAGTCTAAGTTAACTTGAGTCAGCATAATAGATATGTAATTTGAGTATTAAGAGACGAACTAACTCAGGTTATCCTGCAAAACTCGTGACTTGGATCATAAGATTGAAATAACCTAATAAAAAATTTTTTTTTTAAAGAAAACCATACATCCAACATTGTTTTTACAAAAAGCTAATATCAAACGATGAAACCAAAAAAAAAAAAAAGACTAAGAAAAAGGATGTTAACTCGCATTAACTTTTTATACTTGTGACCCAGGTTATTAAATAAAAAAAACCATAAATAAAAGAATTACAAAACCCAATTCCCGACAAATTAAATGATGAAGGATAAAATTAAGAAAAAAATTAATTACATAAAAGGATTTAAAATAAAAAAATAGCAATTAAAAAAATAAGAGTGGAAATTAAAATAAAAAATAAGTTAGAGGGTAACCAAATTTTTTTTATTGAAGAGTTAAATTGAAAACAAAAATAAATTCAATAACAAAAATAAATTAAAAGAATGCACACTAAATTGAAAAACAAATAATAGACCATAAACTTATATTAAATAATAAAATTAAAAATCAATAAAACTTTTACAAAAAAGCAAAGAAAAAATGTTAGAAATCAAAAGAAAATGATTGAATTGGAAAATATAATATATGAAAAATTAAAATTAAAAAATTGAATAAAAAACAATAAATTTCTTATAAAAAAACCAAGAAAAAAAAATAAAAATTAAAAGAATAACGACTAAAATTGAAACACAAAAAACATAAAAGACTAAGTTGTATTTTTTAGAAAATAAAAGAGAAAAAAAGGGGGAAAAAGAAAAACTTACCAGTAATAAACTGATCCACTCCACCATCATACACCATACTATGAGGAAGAGGATGTGACAATGCCTTCCACATAAACAACACTGTCAAAGGGCATGTTTGGTCATCGAGAGCTGTCAAACACGTCACACAAAGGTCATAGACACCTTCCACACGTTGGTGCATGGAGAGTATACACCGATATTTTTTTGAATATTTTTATTAATTAATCAAAGTAAAAAGATCAAAGTGCCCCTCATTGATATGGAATTAACAAAAATAATGTGAAAAGATGAAAAAATGAACTTATTTTTTCTTTAATAACAAAAATACATTTGATTAACAATTCTATTTTTTTTTAACTTTTAAGATTATTTAGTTGTTTTATTATTTAAAATAAAATAAAATAATATGTTTACTTGTGAACATAACAATCATGTAATGACTAATTAACCATGAAAAGAAAGACCACAATAACTTCAACTTATTTAAAATTATTTTACTGATCAATTTTTTTTATTAGTATATACAATGATTTTAGAGTGGTTTTTGATAAATACAAAATTATTCCTATCCTTTGTATTAGAGAAGTCTCATGATTCCTTATCATGTATTGTTGTAATTGCTTCAATTTATTTAAATTTTGAATTTGTATTTTAAGCTATACACTTATCCTCAAGGATAATCTTCTAGTTTGTTACAATCCTTTATATTTATATCAGCTAATCTAATGAGAAGATGTGTGACATATTTCCTCTCCTCTGTTTCTCTACTCTTTTAATGTTTTATGGTATTAGAGCAGCATCAATCAATTGCTCTCTTCCCCAGCCACTAAAAACATGACAACAACCAATGCCAAATCTACGCTTGATATGCAAAATACAAATGAACCAAACACATCTCTCATCTCCATCAATATATTTGTCCAAGTCCCACTCAAATCACCATAACTAATTACATCTCTTGGAAACTTCAATTCCATACACTTTTTTTTATCAAATATGACCTCTTAAGATATATAGATGGATCCAAACCTTGTGCACCCTCCACTATCATTCAAAACAACACCACTGTACCAAATCGTGCTTGTAATACCTAGATTAGACAAGACCAACTGATCTTTAATGCTTTAGTTAGATCTCTTTCTCCTATAATTATTCCATTCATTGCTAGAGCAAAAACATCAGAAGAAGCATGGTTGATCTTAGCAAATACATATGCTAAGCCATCTTGAGGGCGCATCAAGAATCAAATTAAAAATATGAGCAAGGGGTCTCGCACTGTTATAGAGTTTCTTCAATTGATAAAATGTCAGGCTGATGAACTTGCTATTCTTGGGGCACCAATGGATGAAGATGACCTCACAGACAAAATTCTTGATGGTCTTGAGGATGACTATAAAGAGCTTATACATGCAGTTCAAGCACGAGATACCATGATCATGTTCGATGAACTCCATGAAAAGCTTTTTAATTTTGAAGCATCTCTTTAAGGTGCAAAGTCTGAACCCTTTTATTTTCCAGCCACAACAAATCCTGCCAATCATAACACTACTAGTTGGCGTCCCTCTTCGCACTTTAGTAACACCAACAATAATTCGCGTCCCTATGGTAACCATGGTACAGGTTGGCGTCCCTTACCTAATGCCAATAATCAATCCCCTGTATTTCCTAACGCTGGAAAAAACTCGTTTTGCAACCAACGACCTCCTTCACGTCTTTATCTTGGTTACTGCCAGATATGTGGAATACAGGGGCACGCTGTTAAAAGATGTTCCTCTTTTCCCTTAGTGCCAAATTGACCAAATACAAGTCCAGTTGCACCAATGAACAACACTACTACAACTTGGCAACCTCAATCTCATTTTGCATTTAACATTACTTTCACCACTCCTCAATGGCTACTGGACAGCGGTGCTGCTCATCATGTCATTGTTGACCTGAGTAATCTATCTCTTCACACACCTTACAATGGTTTTGATGAAATTATGATTGACGATGGATCAAGTCTTCTTATAACGCACATTGGTTCTACATCATTTACCACTCATAACACATCTTTTAAATTAGACAATATTTTATGTGTTCCCAACATGAAAAAGAATCTAATTTTCATCTCTCAATTTTGCACATCTAATAATGTCTTTGTTGAATTCTTACCATCCTCTTTTTATGTGAAGGAACTTCGTACAGAGGCAATCCTTTTGAAGGGTCAAACAAAAGATAGGGTGTATGAATGGTCGGTTCCCTCTTCCCTGTCATCTCCACTAGTAGCCTTTTCTAGTGTTAAAACTTCTTCATCTACGTGCCATCATAGATTAGGCCATCCTGCATTTTTAATCTTACTACACATTATTTCACATTATTAGTTAAATTTGTCTTCCTATTTTATTTTTTATGTAATGTTTGTCACTGCAATAAAAGTCACAAATTACCTTTCTCTATATCTACTATCTTCTCATCTAAACCACTTGAAATTATTTTCTCTGATGTGTGGACTTCACCTATTCTTTTCCATAATGGTTTTAAATATTGTGTCATATTTGTTGATCACTTTACTAAATACATTTGGTTTTATTCTCTTGAACATAAATTTGAAGTTAAAGGTGTATTTATCTGATTTAAAGCTATTGTGGAAACACACTTTCAAAATAAAATCCATATAATTTACTCTAATAATAGTGGTGAATACATAACTCTTCAAACTTTTCTTGCTACCCATAGGATCACTCACCTTACTACTCCACTACATACTTTTAAACACAATAGATACTCTGAAAGACGTCATCGTCATATTGTTGAAACCAGTCTCACTCTCTTATCTTATACCTCACTTCCTTTAACGTTTTGGACTCATGCCTTTGCCACTGCTATTTACCTAATAAATCATATACCCACCCTTACACTAAATCTATCATCCCTCTATGAACGCATTTTTGGCTCCACCAAATTACTCTAAACTTAAGATTTTTGGTAGTTTGTGCTGCCCATGGTTATGTCCTTATACATCTCACAAATTTGAGTCTTGTTTCAAATCGTGTATTTTTCTAGGTTATTCCTTACTCAAAGTGCTTATTTGTGTTATCATCCTCCCATATCTAAAATGTATGTTTCTCATCATGTTAAATTTATGAAATCAATCTTCCCTTTTTTTACGTTAAACATACAACCTGTCAATCCATAACCAGCCACTGTCTCCACATGGATCCCTCTTATAATTACAGTCCCAACCAACCAAGCTACCACCGGGACATTTAACACACCATCTATAGTTCAGCCTCAAGGTCAACCCTCTTATGATGCATCGTTCCCCACTACAAATACAACCCCACACCTACCACATGAGCTTCCTATCCAACCAACCATTATTATACCTTCACTCGACATCTATCCAACCACCTCAGTGCTTTCATCCAACACCCAAGAAAACACCTCTATCCCAGTTCATAAACCTACATCACAGCCACCACCCCTAAACTCGATAACCATTAGAGCAAAAAACAACATTCGAAGACCAATCCAGAAACTTAATCTCTCCACACAACTATTTCACCCTATTAATATAGAACCACCATTGTGACCTAAGCACTCAAGGATTCAAAATGACATTATGCCATGTGATTGATACTTAAAAGTATATTTTTATCAAGGTTTTATATCATCATTTTGCACTTGAAGTATCAATAACTCCTTAACTAAAGCATGTTTTATAATAATATATCTAATAATATAAGATACTTTTTTTTTGGATGGTAGTTATAATGCATGTTGATATAAGCATATTTTAACATGTAAATGTTGCAAATTAGAAGATGTAGGAATATTTTAGCTTTGAGATATAGACAGGCTTGTTTTATTAATTGATTTTTTAAGTTTAAATATCATCATTTCAAAATTTTTTTTTCTTTAAACACATTAGATCAATGTAAAATTGCATTCTTAAGATTCTTCGAGAGAGAGAAAAAAAAAAACTTAATCTTAGTTGATATATAATCTAATCTAAAAATATATATCCTTATTATCAAATAAAAACAAATAAATTATACCTTTACCATTAGATGCTTGTGTAATGTGATTCATACTAAATTGTTAAAATCCACCATTATATTTTATAATTTGTTCCATTAATGATCATAAGATTCTCTTTTCTTTTTTATTGGTGTTGATGATAACATCAAATGATTCTTAGTAGGAAAATCTCTCAACCCTTTATATGTGTTGCCTAACCCCTAAATATCCTACTCCCCCTCTCTTCATATAATTCGTAATCCTATATATTACCGAAGTGCAAATCTTCAACCAAGTTAATTATGAAATATTAACTTTACCGAAGTGAAAAGAAGATGTTAAAATCTAGAATATTGGTAGGAATGGAAAATTTACAGTAAAATCTAGCTGTGCCTTGATTGACAGGTTGACATGTCAAGGTGACGAAGCTTTTCACTTAGTTAAAAATTTATTTTAATTTTATAGGTTAAAGTTTTAGATGGAATTTTAAAATATAATTTATTTTATTTTTTAATATATTATCTTAAGTAAAAGTATTTTAAATTTGAAAATTATATAGATTCATATTATTTTATATTTAATTTTTATTAAATAAATAAAATAATAAAATTCAAACTTATCATCATTTAATTATTAAAGTTTTGATATAATGTCAAAAAATCTATCTCAAACTAATAAATTAAATTATTAAATAAAATTTTAAAATATAATTTATATTATTCTCCAAAACATTTCAAACATCTAAAGTGGAGTGGAGTGACACCGCTGAAAATACAGGGTTTTTTTTTATTATTATTAATGGTTAGCATTACAAAATCATCTGATTGCAAGAGACTCTTTTCTCAGCTGACACCTTGTTTCATTGGATCAAGCTTCATGCTCGTTTTGTGCATCAGAGATAGAGTCGGCAGATCATCTTCTCCTTCAATGCTACTTTGCTCGGAAACTATGGACAAAGTTCCCTACATGGTAGAGGTGGTGCGTTCCAAAGACTATGGATCGGCTTCTGGTTCGATGGCCAACATTGACACATGAGAGATTCCAGAGGAAAGCATGGAACCTCTCTTCATATGGCATTGCTTGGAGTATTTGGTTAAGCAGGAATCACCTAATCTTTAACTAAATACAGCCGAACTAGGAATCATGTTTTTCATTAATTCCACACTGGCTATCAGCTTGGTTAAAGAGCTGTGAAGAAAATTTTGGTTACACGGATAATAATTTGTTAAGAAATATAGATAACATTCACAAATAATCATTAAATTATTAGATAAACTTGTTGAGTAGACTCGTGTAGCATTGTTTGGTACTCAAGTATAGACCCATCATTATTGAGCCATGATAAGTAATGGGTTAAAATGCTAATTAAAATTTAATAAAAGATAATACACTATTACAAATTACAATTACAATTAAAAAAAAACCTAAATTACATGGACGTGAGTTATTATACCTTCTCTTGAAATTCATAGTAGATCTTAATAATTACTTTTTTTTTCTTTTTTCTTTTAAGTTTGGTCATCAAATTTGATAAATAGAATTAATTAATTAAAGATTAGCTAGATTTTATTCGAGATTTTTATTGAAATTATTAAAGATATAAGAGAGTCATTACCCTAAATTAATTTTCTCTTTTCTTCTTTTACATGTGAGGAATAATAATCGTAAATGGTTGATCTAATGTACCATAAAATTAAGAACTACAACATATACTACCAAAGGTCTGTGAATATTTAACACATCTCCAACATGCTTTAAAATTGGTGTCATACATGCCCAACAATATGAAGACTCGAATTACAGGTGCTCTCTTCCTTGGAGCCATTTTCGCCATTGTTGGACTTAGAGCCATTAATGGCTCTCAAGCAAGAATTTTACCAGGTACTTAACTAACTTATGCTTAGATATATTATCACGTTTCACTAAAATTCATACACGTTTGTCTCACCAGTTGTTTCTTGATTAAAAACATGTTGAATTGCTTGCATATTCTAATTAAAATCTCTTTTGTTCATGTGCTGCAGATAGCTTTCGACTCAAAGTAGCAATAATAGCTGCTTATGGAAGGAGTTACAGCCCACCACCTCCATCTCCGATCCCTTCACCAAGTTCCAAGGAACTTAACAGCAATTACGAGAAGTATTCGTCTCCGCCACCACAATCTCCAAAAATCGATCCACCAATCGGTCAAGTAACCATTAGTAATGGACGGACCACGCCATCACCTCCACCCCCGAAGCCTGCTTCACCAAAAGGCGAGCTTGAGATTGGTTCTCCATGCACTGATGGGACTCCATGCAACGATGGCCACATTTCGATGATAACAAATTTTGAAAGGCCTTTACCAAGTTCAAATCCACCTCCAGACCCAGCGACTCCTATAATTCAAATAACCTTTGATCCTGAGCTGAAAGTGCGTGCAAGATCACCACTAGGACCTGAGGGGATTTTGAAGGAGCTCTTTTCCTCTGGCAGAATGTTTATTTTTTCATATCTTGTATAACTTTCTCCCATGTTATTTCAGACAGAACTCCATCAACTTGATGGGGTATTGCATTCATCAATAAAATTCGACTATTATATATACATATAAAAAAAAAATCGACACCAGGGGAATATATATATTAAACTTGAGCTAACTGGCTAGTTTGCTCTATTTGGTCATTAATCAATTAATTAGTTAACTAGGTAGGAGTGATTAGTATGTGTGCCTGCGAGCTATGCATGGTCCTGATCGCCAGGTTAATTTCCGATCTCTCTGGAGCAACTCACATGGTAGTGAGGTTAACGTAGGGTGTTGTTTTAGCTAGATAGCTTGGCGAATCTCATTTCTCCTTGACTGATAAGGTTCTTAATGAGATCTAGTAGTAGGCGAGGCTAAATAATGCGTGTAATTTATAATGTGATGGATGTGATATATGGAAAGAGCTAAAAGAAAGCAGAGTGGTTTTAGCAGGAAACTTTCATTAGCAGTCCATAATTATGGGATCGAATTATGAAATATTGTCTGTACCTGGTTTTTCTTTACGTTAGATGTTAGATGGCTTTTACCACAGCTATGCGTATCGGAATTTATACAATTGGTTGAACTGGAATTAGCAGAAAATAATAGCAGTTCATGTACAAAGAGAAACAAAATGTACATATATTGCAAGTAAAAATGAATTTTATACAAAACAAGGAGAACGCAAGAAGAAATACGTAGCCCAGCATGCACACACAAGAGCCAAAAGCTAGAGTCCACAACCTGAAATATATTAAGTCCTAACTTAATTAATTATGGCTTAAACTTAATACACCTCCGCATGAATAGTCAAGCTTGTGTTAAACATCATTTTTTTTAACAGTTAATCACCCGCACCAAACTCGAACTTGCAAGGAATCCGTTGTTAACAACAACTAACTTTGACTAATTAATTTTTGGTGCCGGAATGATATGATTTTTAACTAAATTTAGGCTCTAAGTTATGCTGGGTCAGAACGGAACAGCGTTGAATGGTGGGGGGCCATGATACCCTCCCAAACTTTGAGAAGATGACATATTAGTCCTAATATTTTGAGATTTATTAATTATACCCTTGAGTTGAAAGATTATATATAAGAAATATACCTGCTTTGCCCCCCAAACAAATCATGTATTATCCAATCGGCACTCCCAATTCCTTAATCACTCACACCAAACTTTGAACGTGCATGAAATCCGCAGTTAACACACTACTTTTTATAAACTAGAATATCGAAAACTTACGGGTTTAATTAGTTTCTTTTGATGGATGGTTTAAAAAAAATGCTTGTGCCAATTAGCCCTTAGAATATAGAGAGAAAGGTTTGCTATCATGCATTTTTTTCACATGGGACGACGAACTTTGACGAGAATTTAGCCATTAATTTAACTCGAGCAAGAACTTCATCCGGCGGGCATGTACAGATCACTAGATTCTTGTTTATTTCTGTCCCAGTAATATTATATATATAGCTCAATGTTTTTGTATGATGACAGTTAATTAATGCACTGCGTACTTACTTTTTCTTGGGTTTAAGGGCTCCCTTAGACCTTTTTATATATACAGTGAACATAGATAATTGTATCTAAGTTGATAAATTTGTTTAGATTTAAATTTATATTAGTAGATAAATTTCAGTTTAAAATTTATCTTCCCATAAATTTATTATGATAATTAATTTTATTTTATTAAATTTAATGATCCCTGAAATTTTATAAAAAAAATATTTTTATTTCTTTATTTTTAATGGAAACAAAACACCAGCATAAAATCCCTTGATTTGTATGTATAGGGACTGATCAACAAGGGAAAAGATTTGAAAAACAATAGCAGCACACTCAAAAGCCAGGGTCAAGTCAATTGGGATCCAACATAGCCATCGCCAAAAGCTTCACTACCCTAAATTAACTACGGCTTTTGAATCTACATAAACATAATAATTAACGAGGTGTTAAACTATGATCCTTCTTTATTAAAATCTGTCAAAACTAACCGTATGAGAACAGTAAAACACGTATGGGCTTGGTGTTCATTATTTTTACACATAATTAATCACCCACCAAACTTTGTACATGCGTATGCATTGAATCTGTGGTTAACCATTTTTGACAAAAAAAGTTTAATATAAAGTTATTATCAAATGATTTATAATTCAACTACTGATAAGAAATAAATAAATATGAAAAATCACTATAGAATGACCAAAAGGTCAGGGAATTGGACAACCATGGACTTGGACCAAAGGCAGTAGAGATGAAATATATATGTTGAAAATCAATCTTGGTAAAAGCTGATCGAGTCCAAGGTACTCTTTAAAATTTAAGTAAATAATGAAACCGAGTGTAAAAGTATGAATTAGTATACCAGGGGATTTATCTTTGTTTTCATATATAAATATAATGGAAGCTTGATTACCACATTTACCTACTTAGAGTATCATATGCTTAGAAATAGCTTAACTCGATCTACATATAATATGCTTTAGTAGGGAAGCTTGATTACCACATTTACCTACTTTAAAGAGTATCATATGCGTAGAAATAGCTTAACTCGATCTATATATAATATGCTTTAGTGGAATCAATACACACCAATTAAGGAACATGATGGCTACTCCAATGACGAATGTTCTTTTCCTTGCTTTAGCTTTAGCATTTTTTGGACTTTCAGCCATTGATTCCGCTCAAGCAAGAACGTTACCAGGTTATTACAGATCACTAGCTTCTTGTATATTTCTGTCCAAGTAATATATATATATAACACATACGCTCGCACGCACGCACACTCTAACCCAACATTTTGGAAGTGAGCTTAGCTGATTTTCCATTCAAATCCTAACTTTGACAACTGTTTACTAGCTAGATATTTAAAATTACGGTACCGTGGATCTAAAATTTCTTCCATTCATGTGTTGCAGACAGGTTTGGCCTCAAAGTTGCAAAAACATTAGCTACCCCGCCACCTCCGTGTATGGTACATTCGTCAAAATCCAAGGAATCAACGAGAGATTATCAGAAGTACTTGACTTCGCCACCACCAACGACTAGTTATGATCAAGAGACCTTGAGCTCACCTCCAAGGCCTGACTCGACAAAAAGCCAACTTGATATTGAGTCTCCATGCAATAATGAAGAGAGTCCATGCATTAATGATGGTTGCATATCTATGATAACAGATTTTGAGAGGCCTATTCCTAGTTCAAACCCACCTCCAAAACCACAAACTCCTACGGTGCCATTACTGAGTCCAAAATCACCTCCAAGGCAACATATACCTCGTGTCAGCTAGAAATCATCATGCATGATGATCTCTTGATAGTTAATCAAGTACATGCTCTCGCTGTATAAGTTACTGGCTTGGTTTTCACATCAAGAAATTCAACTGTTACTAAGGTTTCGAAAAGTTTAGGTGCTGGGCCGCTGGGATGCTTTTTGTGCTTGGCAAATCTTATCTCTCATTTAGAAAGTGTAGGCTTCTACTGGGTTTGCTTCCTTACGAGATTAATTGAGTTGTTGGTCATGTTTGTTTGTAGTTTCTTGGTACACACACTTTGCTTATTTCTCCATTGTTGATGACTCTTTAAGAAATTAGTCGATAAAAAGCGTTTTCTTATCAAAGAAAAATATAAGGTTTTAAATGGAAAATGTTTTCCTCTTAAACTTTGGGAAAACACTTTCGATTACATATTTATGTTTATATATTCCTATTTTAAAGTTTATTGTTAATCAATAATGTTTGTATAGTAAAAACTCTTTGTTTATTCTTTTTTCATTTTATGTTACATCATTAGTATCATGGGTGTTTAATAAAACCAATCAATTAACAAAACTAAAAACTAAAAATTAATTGAAAAAAACAAAAAAACAATTAAAAAACCTAAAAAATATTAGCTTGGTTAAGTTTTAGTTTTAAAAGTTTAGAATTAACTAAACTAAACTAGTTCAACTAAAACTTAAACCAACTATAAAAAGCCAAATAACTATAAAAATAAATTATTCTCAAACCCTAAAGTAGTATATGCAGCCACACGCCCCTCTCTCCCACCCCAACTTTATCCCCTCGTTTCTCGATCTTCCTTTAACCATAGCCCACCCTCTCTTCTCTATCTTCTTTGCCTCTCTTCAAGTGTTTTCATAGCATTAAACTTGCCAAATCTTTTAGCATTTTCTGATGTTGATATTACTGTTTTTTTTTCAAACTATATTAAATTTTTTTGTTTAATTATATCTAATCTGGAATTGTTCATATTAGATTTACTAATATGTTGTTTCTAATGTATTCGTTCATTTATTTTAACTTTTCTAATATGAACACTTTTATTAATTTGAGATGTTCAAATCTAATGAAGCAACTTGCATAGTGTATTAATTTGACAGGGTTGGGAAAATTGAGTTCTTGTTAAATTAGGTTAATGCAAATATTGCATAATGAGAATGTCTATTTGGTTGGGTTCTATTAAATTGGATTGTGTATATGTGTTTAAAAAGTTGTTTTAATTACAATTATAAGCACAACTTTCACAATTATTAAACCATGTAGAACACAACATACTCTCTTTGTTTTCTCAAGGTCGAACTTCACAGACTTATTGCTAAATTCCTCAAATAAACAGCTTAATAATGTAGTTAAACGAATATATATTAAATTCAATTTTCAATTTAGTAATGGTGTTGCCTTGTTTTTTTTTAAAAAAAAAAGTTTGATTAAAAAAATCTTAAAAGAAAATAAACTAAATTTTTTTTATTAAAGTATAATTTAATATAAATCCATTTAAATAATAATAATAATAATAAAATATAAATCCATTTAAATAATAATAATAAAAAAAAATAGCTTATTTATGTTAGTATTAGGTTTACTAGTTTTTATGTCAAAAAATCAACCTTGACTGAGCTGAGCCGTTCAATTTAAAATAATTTTTAATTTGATCTCCATTGTATTCTTTAAAAATAAAATATTCTGATTTAGTTGGATTTTTTAGCTCAAAGAGAACGAACTATACCTTTAATACCCCTCTTTTTCACTATTGATTTTATTTTTTATTGTTTAAATTATTTAATTTGCAATTTTAATCATAAAATAAATAACTATTATGTACATTTCATTCGAGGTATGAAATATAAATAAAACACTTCCCGTTTTTCATGTCATGTTCAGTTCAATTTTTGTGATTGAATTTTCAATGTACATGGGCATGCCTTGTTCTGTTTAAAAAAATTACCAAGAAAAAAATATATATAAGATGACCTTGACCTATGCTTACTAATTCCAATGGACAAACCAAGAAAAAATTGATTTTTTTTTTTATAATTCAAGGTATTCGGTTAGCTTACACGCATCATAATTAATACCCGAATTCACTAAACATCCTATAAACCCAATAAACAAATAAAACACCATAAAAATAACAAACATATATATTAATACTTGAACCTAAGATGTAGAGATAAAGAAACCCTACCAGGATAGCTGGGCTACAAGCCTTAGTATGCATCAATCTTTTAGTCGTGTCACCTACCAGGATAGCTGGGTTACAAGCTTTAGTACGAAAAAACTGATTTCTTCATTGCATCTGATATTATATTTGTTTTTTTTTTTTTCTACAAATGAATAATGAAATTTATTCTATTTCTTTTTTAAAATTTATTCATAATTATCCATGAAAAAATATTCATTATTTTATCAAGTGAGCAAAATAAAAAAATAGGTAAAATATATTTTTATTCTTACAAATTCATTAATATTCAAAATTTACTTATATACTTTAAAATTTCTCAATATTATTATTGTAATAATTTCTTAAGAAATTCAATTTTATCCTTTAATGCTAAATAATTAATTCAAAACTCCATTTTCTTCATGTTTTATTTTAATTTTTATTTATTTCTCTTATTATTTTTCTGAGATGGTAAGCTTTTAAAAATACAAAAATAAAATGAAATGAAAAGGCCGGCTATTTAACGTTTAGGGGTAAAAGTGGAATGTTATTGAAACTAGAAGCACAGCATTGAGAAATTTAAAACTAAGTAATCTATAAGGATAAAACTGAAGCTACCCAAATGACGTGGCAAAATGCAAAAGGACACGTGGGTCCCAAACCGAACCCTTTAAAAACTCCTCTATCTCTCTCTTCCCGGAGCCTTGAAGCGCCAAAATCCTGAACTCTCTCCTTCCAACAGAAACAGCATCTCTTCTTCCGCTTCTTCTCTACTGCTGGTAAGACTCCTTTCTGTTCCTTCTTCCTAAATAAATAAATTGTTTCCATTTGATTGGTATTTTGTGTGCGATTTTTTTCTATGATGATTTATAACATTTGGGTTTTTGTTGATTTTTTTTATCTGTGAATTTTCTTGGGTTTCTTGCTTGAATTATTAGGTTTTGATGTGAATTTTTTTCTTGTTGTATGATTTTTTTTTTGTGGGTGTTGGGTTTTGTGTGGTGTTTTTATATCCATTAATCTTTGTGGTTTGAGAAATATTTTGTTGTTTTAGAATCATGTGGCAGATTGATATTACTGCTTGTTAACTTCGATTATGTGGCAAGGATTGCATGAACTGTCTGCTTAATTATCTTAAGATTATAGTATTCTCTATGTTTGTTTCGATTTTTTTTATGTTGTATGACTGTAGATTTTTTCTTTTTATTTTTCTTTTTCTTTTTGTCAAATTTTGCCCCTTTGTATCTATTTTATGATAAAAAGAATTCATCATATCTTATAAAATCTATTTTTTTTCCTTTGCTAGTCTATGTTTGGATAAATTTCAGTTCTGTATATCCTTCTAGTAATGTGTACATCCGATTGCACTCATCCTTTGTCCAGAACTTGTTATGCAATGGCAAGTGAAAAGCCAAAACAAGGAGATAAATTAGCAAATCCTAGTTCTACACCGCAAAGGAATGAAAAACTTGGGGCTCTTGATCTAACTAATTCACCTGCTGGCCATAATGAGATTCTTGATGATCGGTTGCCACCATTTCCCTTTTTCCAAACTGGGGATATGCAGGGAATGCCTCAACATTATGCTCAGGAAATGCCATTGCCTGTCTTCTGTACGATGAATGATTTTTCCCAGTTCAATTTCTCTGATCGTACTGCATTTGACCATGATTACTTATATAGGCCAGTTCCAGATATTTCATTCTTGGAAGGGAATGTGAACGAACCAGTTGATTGTTTTCCCTCATGTGCTTTAACTTATGTTGATTGTTTTCCCTCATGTGCTTTAACAGATGTTGCTAGTAAGATTTATGATGGTCTTCAGAACTCCAAGATACACAGAAAAGTTGATAGTGCCAGGAACGACATGGCTAGAGGCTCAGAAATGCGTAGTGAGGCTGCAGAAGCAAAAAATAGTGACGTGCACAGGTCTTCCCTAATTGGAGAAAGGGGACCTAGCACACCTATGGCAATGCATAACTCAACTAGTGGAAGAGGGGTAATTAATAACATTGTCAACACAAGTGCAGCTCAGTCTAGTCATCCTCAAATCCTTGATGGGAGTTCTTTGAAGCTGGGAGTTGGATCTAATGCAGAGCCCAGGAATACTTCTAATGTCTCCAGCAGATATGGCACTATTAAGTATAATGAGACTGCTCTTCCCCAATTAAGTGCTTTATGTGGTCAAAAAGATGATACAAGTTCTTTGAGCTCTTCTTCAAAGATGACTGGGGATTTTTCTACTATTCAAAACAATGCTGGAGGATTCGATAATAATGCTTCAAATGACATTGGATTTTCCAGCCTCACACAGAATGTTGATGGGCTTTCTAGGGTAGTGCGAAATGCAGGTAGGGCTTCTGAACAAGTGCAGAATGTTGTTGAATTTTCTAATCTGCTGCCGAATATTGGTGTGTTTTCCAATAAAATGCAGAGTGTGGATGGGATTTCTCCTCAAACACCAAATGTGGATCGATTTTCTAGTCAACTGCAGAATGTAGAGCAGCTTCCTAGACCAACTCAGAATGAGGGTGGTAGGACTTTGTCACTTTTAGCAGATAGGCAACATTATCATTCTATTTCAAGCAACTGGAGCTCAGGCCCCAAAGTGAATGCGAATGCAAGATTTTCAAATGTAAATCCTAGTACAGGTTTTCAGGGTTTTCCCACTGAGCCCTTAATACTACATAATAGAAATCAAGTTGGCATGCCCGATTATGGACACGGGGAAACTGGGTTGCAATCATATTATTTCATTAGGAATGCTACTCAAAGTTCTTCTGACCAAAGACAGTATCCTCACACAGGAACTTTCATGAACCTCTCACCTGACCCTTCTCTGGTTGTTCCTTTTGTAGGGTTTGCCAGAAGCAACAGTGGACAGAGTCAATCAGGTGAATTATTGAGTTCTAAGTATTCCACTTAAGATCGAACTATGAATTTAGATAGAGCTTCTAAATAGTAGGTTTCTACTTTATTTACTTTGACTTATGTTTGTTTGTGTTTTTTCTTTTTCAATAATCAATGAGGAATTTTGAGAGTCAAGAATGCTCGTCAAATCATTAAGTATAAAAGACTATAATCTAAATAACCTTGTCCTGAACTCTATCAGTTAAATGTCTGATCATGATGAACAATCAGCAAGCTATTCTTTGTTTCTTTTATTCCCAAGTTTTAAGTGTAATTTAGGTGTCCCAAATTGCAGTTGATCTCCCCTTTAAATGATTATGGTGTTCTTCTTCAGGATTGTATCAATGATTTTTTTTCTTTTGTTTTACGGTGAATTAATGAAAGAAGAGAGTTTGAGAGTAAATACAATCTGGGAATTGGTATGAAGTGTAGAGATGGTGGAAGCCAATAGCTCAACTATGCTCCCAGAAAAAGATGTGAGTGGTCTGTGTATATATAGTGGAGATTTCTTGTCTTGTCCAAAGGAGATATAATTATTTGCTACTCTTTCCCCACCTCCGTTTTTTTTTTTTTTTTTTTTTTGTATGTGTTGTGTTTTTCCTCTAATGGATTTTTTAATCCATAATCTAACCATTAGGCTAACAGAAAGTCATAACTGATGTTTAATTGGTTATTTGCTGATTGATAATTGCTTAACTTCCAGCAATTCAGCCTTTTCAAGCTAAGGAGGTGCTGTTCGCTGAAAGCAGTCTATTTTCTAAGAAATTTGGAGTTTAACATGCAAAGGCATCCTTCGTTTTCTGCGCTAAAATCACAGCTTTGGCATGCATGTCTCTATGTGTCTTAAACTCATTTTCTCATAGTAAATGATGTTTTGATCCTTAGTATCAATTTATAATGCTCTTTTGGCTTGATGAAAGCCTTAATTGCCGTAGTTGGGATGCTGAGAGTTTCATGTTGTTCATATTATCAGTCATATGGTTTCATTGCAGCTGATTTACCTATAGAATATGAATGATGATGATAACAAACAGCTTTAGATGATGATTCTGCTAATTTATTTTGGATTTGCAGTTCTTAGAATTCATGTTCACAATATCATATTCTGGACACAAATTGAGCTCGGGTGGTAAAGCGCGTTACTTAATTCATTTGCCTACTTTCCCTTGCTATTGCATGCAGCTAAGCTTGCTCAAGCTCCTGTCGAGCTTTCCTGAAGTTCTTCTGAATCTTCTTCTAGTACTATAAATTAGCATGTAGCTTGACTTAGCTGTTGTTTTGAATCATGTGCTATTATTATTGGTGTTAATTTTTGAACTTGCAGGTCAAGTAATCCCAGCAGCAAATGCACCTGCTCAGTTGTCCGGTGTTCCTTGTAGACCATCATGCAAGAGGGGTGCGAGTGAATCCTCTCTTGCTACTCCTGAGGCTTTACACCGAAAGTTCAGAGTTTCTAGAGCTTCCAGTCACTTGTCTACTCCAAATACGGCCCAAATTGCTTCACCTCATGCACCATCGCCTCTGGCTTGGACTCCTTCCTTGAAGCTGCCCGCTGTCCAGCTAGTTCACCCATGCACAATTCAATCTCCTCCAGATGTGTCACAAATTAATGCACCAGCTCTGGTCCAGATTCCTCACCTGAGTCCACCACTGGTTCAAGCAGCTTACCGAAACCTAGCCCGGTGTGCTTCGAATGTGGCCCAAATGACTCCACCTCACTCACCTCTGGCATGGACTCCTCCCAACTCAGCCCTAGTCCAAACTGATCGTCCACACCTAGCGCAGTTTACTCTTAATTTGACCCGAGCTCCACCCAATGCACCTCTGGCTGGGACTACTCCCTCAAGCCAATTGCTAATCCAAACTGTTCGCCCAAACTTGGCCCAGAAGCCTCCAATTCGCCAACTCTTGGCCCAAAATACATCTGGTCGACCACCCTTTTCCCATCGTGTTCCACCCTTGCCCAGTATAAAAGCACATTATCACATAAAATGGCAAGGTATATCTCAAGAGTTAGGCTGAATTTTTTTGTGACAGTTGTCTTTAGTTGTTGAGTACCATTTTTTTCATTTCCAATTGACACTGTTTTTTACTAGGTCGTTTTTCATTTAGCCTTTATTTATGATGAGCATGATGTATTTTTTTTCCTGTTCATTCCATAGCACAGCCTGTATTGGCAAGCAACATTTGCCTTGCGTGAGTAAGGCCTGACAGGTTATTCTCTGGATTTTTATTTTTATCCAATGCTCATTGTATCTGTTAATTTACTTGAGGACCTGCTTGGACAGCAACAAAATATTTGTGGTGCCTTTTGTAAGATGGTTTATTGAACAATGGAGATTTGTCCTTCAGCTGGGAACTGCTTCATCCTGGTTTTTCCTGGACATGTTTCAAATACCTAATGTTATGGGCACCTGACGGCAGAGGCTGTGTTCCATTTAATTCAATCAAACACCTGCTACAAATGTGCTTTGATATTAATCATGTTAGCAATGATATGGATGGTAACAAGTAATGATGATGCTCTTTATTGCAGGTCCAGAAAAAACTCCTCAACTAAGTGGACACCAGTGTTTTATATGCAAGAGGGATCTCTCATTCACGCCAGAAGGGCCAGTGGAACAACCAGTGAATCCACAACCTGTTGCTGTCTTGCCATGCCACCACCACTTTCATACTTTCTGCTTGGAGCGTATTACTACCGGAAGCGATGCAGAGAATCCTCCATGTATTCCTTGTGCCTTGGGTGACAAGAACTAACTCTGACCATGATCATTCATGTCCTCAATGTTTTTTCTTTTCTTTTTGTCTTTTTGTTCAATCCTGCTAGCATTAGTCTTCTTGATATATCATATAGAGGGAAACTCTAAGTTTTGGAGAAGAGCTACTATATTAAATAGCTAGCTACAATTCTTTTAACTGTGTACAGCAGATAGTTTTGGAGAAGAGCTACTATATTAATTAGCTAGCTACAATTCTTTTAACTGTGTACAGCAGATGACATTACTGATACAAACTACAACATCTAAAATCAATCTAGTAGAGGACACTTCATGATTAATATAACGCATCCTTTAAACATTCTGTAGCTGAAGTTTGTTTTCGAGATTCTGTTGACAGGGTGCATCAAAGGTGGTTTGCTTGCGATTGCTTTCTCATAATTTTTTACTACATCAGTGGTTTTTGCCCTTAAGTTTATTTTAATGCTAACCTTCCATCATACAATTCGGCCATACCATTAGATTTTTTGTTTTCCAATTACTTCTGTGACGAAGACATGCAAGCCTGCAAAGCTGGACTGGCCTCAATGTCAGCCCAACCGAGCCCGCCAATGGTTCCTGTTAAGCCCTCAGGCTAAGCCCTACAACCCTTTCCAATCACCAACCAAGCCAACACCTGAAGTAAAAAATCATGAGAAAACAAAACATAAATGGAGCTACTGCCTGCCTACCGGTCCAGATCCAAGGTCAGTCGGTGGAGTAGCGGTTGCATATTGTGGGGTTCTGACTTCTGAGTTTGCTCTCTCTTTCAAGATTCCATTTTCCGAGAGAAAAAGATCCCCATGCATCATGGGATATGCCATTCTTGTAAAACTTGGCATCAAAACTGGGACTGGAATATAATTTGCCATCATAGATTTTAAATCCAACCCGGGTTTTAACCCGATACAAGCTTTAGGTTATAAATCATCCAATTTGATTTATATTTTTTTTAAATAAAGCAAATAAATATCATTTTTAAATAAAAAACACTTATTTTTATCGGGATTATATTAAATATAACTCTCTTTTCAAGATAAGAGTTGAACCTAATAGTGTTCGCAACAACTATTTTAGAAATTAAAATAGGGGGTTAAAACAAACCCAGAACAAGAGGCAAAAAAATAAAATAAAACCAAGCAAATAAAGACAGGCTAAACACATGGAAGAAATTAAAACACTCATAAAATAGATAATGGGACCCACATTAGACAACTGTTAGCTTAAAATCTTCCACCCTATAGCTAAAATCCCCACCGTTCAAATAAAGAACAACCAGAATCCACCTTGATGCTACCGTCATTTGTTATTGTCCCCCAAGATGGGTCAACTGTATTTTAATCCCTGTATTTCATTAATATTATAATTTGGTCCTTATATAAAATAGCTTGTCACTCTTTTCTAACCTTTTCTTTGATTATTTTCTCAACCTTTCCTTCTATAAATCATGGTGTTTTTTTTTTATGTGAAAATAATCCACCAAATCTTTAAAGGAAAATGCTTGCCTAATTTTTTTTTAACACAATTATCATTGAATTTCTTAATATTTTCACCAAATCTTTAGAGGAAAATGTTAATCTAATTGAGTAGGATAATTAACATTGTGTCTAATATTTTTTAACACAATTGTCCTTATGCATATTGTATTGCTTAATAACTCCAGACGATGACAATGTTATTATTCTCATGCTAATACTATTTATAATTATTACATATTTATTTTCTTAAAAGTAAAGTGGATCTTAGTAAACATTAATATTTACAAACATACTAGGAAATTAACAAGATACATATGCAATTGTGTCAAAGAAAACTTGGGCACTGTGCTAATTCCTCCAAGGAGTATGGAGGCTAGCATTTTCCATCTTTAAAAACCCTAAAATACTAAGACAAATCTAAATCATCCCAAAAAGTTATATTGTAAAAAAACATTGAGACTGACAATTGGAGTTTTTTTAAGACTATGAGGGCTGAAAGGAACATTATGAAATCCATGGGGATTGGAATGTAGTTACTTCAAAAATTTAGAAGTACATATAACAGAAAGGAAGTTGAAACGGACACTGCTTGTTATCTATCTTCATTTCCACAGGAACCTCTCTCCGTCTGTCTGTCTCTCTCCCTCTCTCTCTATAAGCATAGAGAGACCTTGGTGTTCATAGTTCTTGAAAGTTGAAGAAAGTTTTTATCTTCTTCAATGGAAAAGGAGGACGATAATCATAAAACCAAGGATGTGAAGATGGTTGAAGCTGAACCTTTGAATGGCTTCTCCCCAGTCTCTTCGACTAGGATCTTTTGGAAATCTAGAAAGAGATCAGGTAGTGCCAATTATGCTGTCTTCTTCTTTTTGGTCTTTTTTAATTCTTTCTCTTTATGTTTGCATGGTATACAAATATATCTATCAAACACTTGTCTTGAGATTTGATATTAGTAAAGAATCCTAGTTCTTGTTGCTTGGTGTTGAAGGATCTGTGTCAAAGGTTTCATTTTTAGACATTTAGAAGCTTAATTCTAACATTCCTCGTGAGAACAAGAACAGATCCTTTGATTAGAGAACTAATCATGATTATTAACCATAACCTTCCCTCTCTAAGGAGGCAAAGATTATAGCTTTGACATTTGGTGGTTAATTAGAGGAAGAGGGAGAGAGACAGGGAGAGAAGTAACAGCTTGTGATGACTTGTTGTTTGCTTACACAAGACCTGTTTACTTTGCTTGTAAGTTAATTCACTGGCTTTGGATTACCAGTTGCTCTCTTTCCTAGTATTATTACCATTATTACTATTATTATTACATCCATTTTTCTTTTCTGTTACTATTTTCTTACAAAGATCACACCAAGACATCTCCAATTATTAAGGATGGTATCCTGTTTGTGTTTCGACTTTTTGTTGTGGATTTTATATTTAGAGTCATTTTCTTGGTCAACTAACCCATGGCCTACCTCTCCTAGGGAATTGGTCGTTAATTTTTGTCAGGGCAAAGGTGACTATCTCTCTCCATTTTTGGTTTATTACTCGGCACTTAATCATTGTAACAATCTTGGTTCATGAACCTGTGATTTATGCTGTCAATGGTATTGTGCTAACCCTTATGAGGCTTCTGGTTTGGCATTCTGGTGCATGCTATTTTTGTTTAAGAATATATTTAAAAAAAATTAAAAAATTATTTTTTAATATTGACAATTTAAAAAAAAATTAAAAAATTATTTTTCAATATTGACAAATACTAAAAAAAAATATTAATTTAATATTTTTCCAAATATATTTTAAAAAAGCACCTCCAATGAAAAGCCAACACTCTCAACCTTGAAAGCAACTTTAGATATTTTGAAAATGGAAAAACATGGTGACTAGGATATAATGAATTTGTGTTCTTTTTTTTCCCCAACTGTGCTAACATCTTTCAAGAAAGAGGGTATGGAGAGGTACTGTTTCAATAGTTTCCTAGATAAAGTAATTGTATTATTACCATTTAGAAAGAAGATGAATTGAGTTCTTGGCAAATAGGTCAGTACTTCGCAGAAGTTGACTGTTCTTGAAGAAATGGCTCCTTAGGAAATGAACAGTTGTTTTAAGGGGGGTAAGAGAATATAGCGGTAATTATTTTTTAAAATGTTTTTTTATAAAAAAAATATTTTATAAAGTTTACTTTTAACATCAGCTGATCTAGAAATATTTAAAAATAATAATTTGAAAAGAAAATTAATTAAAAAAAAAGTAAGACCCGCAATCAAACACTTTTTTAATTATGGACATCCGTTGAGACATTGATGCTATCACATTTTGTTTCTTCTTTGATTAGTTTGGTAAATTGCAATGCCCTTTGCTCGAGAATATCAATGCCAGAAAGGAAAAACTTGCTTATGCCTGAGTAAAATCCAATTTACTTAAAACTTGGTTTGAGTTGGTTAAAAAAGAGCCAAGTGTGGATTGTAGATTCCATGCATTTCTCTTTATGTTTGCCTAAGCTCCTATAGAGCATAAAAAAATGTGATATATACCACCATACATGGTTTGGCCACATGTTTACAGTTTTGTATGGTCAATGAACACAATAGCATAAATGTTTCATTGTTTATGGCTCTCTTTCAAGGTTAAAATGATGAGCACTGCAAGTAGTTGTAGTTTATATGTGACTTGTTGCATCTTTTAGTGGCCATGATATCTATAATATAGATCTTCCATGCTTCTAAAACTATTTGGAACTAGAATGGTAACTTCTTTCCAACAGCTAGCGGGAGGAATTTAGACAAGGTAACTGAGGGCAATGTAAATGAAACACCCAACAAACAGGAGGAATCTTCCAATGATGAAAAGATGCAGGACCAAAATCTAACTCCAGAGCTTTCTGAGCGTCGAAGGGCCCTCTTTGAACCGTTGGAACCTGTAACAAATATCAATGGCAAGAGATTATCTGCAGAATCCTTACTTCCTCCTCCAGATTTTGATGCTGCAAGTTATCCCAAGGGCTGGCTAATTGGAAAGAAGCGAAAGCTTGTTAATGTAGACGTTGTTGAAAGCATGAGGAGGATTGCCGTGCAGGAAATGAACAGAAAGGTATCGGCTTCATAAACCTAACCTCTTATGCATCGCTGTGCAGATTGAACTAGCATCGGATGATTCTTGCAGGACCGAGAAATTGATGGCCTAAATGAGCAGTTGGAAGAAGATGCACGGTGTCTAGAACATCTCCAACTCCAACTTCTGCAAGAAAAAAGTAAACGTGCTGAGGTAGAGAGAGAGAATGCTATGCTGCAAGACCAGATATCAATGCTTATGAACATGCTACAGGAAAATGAGCCAATGGGCGATGAAGATCTGGGGAATGAAGGTCCTGATGAACCTTAAATATGTTTGATTATTTATTCTTTTTGTAGGTTTGTTGGGGAAGGTTAGAAGAATTCATACATGAACATATACGCGGTTTTGTCCAAATATTTGTTGGAGTTCATGTAACTGTATCTGTTGATATGGTCACACCTTGTGCACGCTTGTTGCTGTTTGTAGTCGTGTCTCCTTCCTTTCTCGTAAATGCATACAGGCCTCTGGTAATTTGTTCATGTGTTGATGCCTCGTGGCTAACAATATTTAGATCAATGATGTGGCTAGCAATTCTTCTGCCCTTTTGTTGCGCCCGCAATTCTGATTTGTCTTTCGCTGGTCGCTCTGCCAGCAAATCCTGTCCTATCCATTTTGGCATGCGCTCTGTGTGGTTTCATGTGGCATATTTTATATCTCTTGGTTTCCAGTAAATGGCATGCTGCCACTATAGCCGCCATCAAAGATGTTTTCTCAAAAGTCCTAGCAAAAAATTGTTATCCTGATTGATGTGCCCCTTGGACAAGGTTGCATAGAAGGTGCTCTACGGTTGAAAACCCCGCCAACACCACATTCCACGTGCACTATTAGGGCTACAAAAGGTTGTGATCCCCTACAAACACCAAGCTTTACATAAACTGTTAAGATTGCAAAAGGTTGTACAAAGGAAACACTAGTTCAAACACTATGGACACCAGTATCCCCATATGAACATCCGAGGATTCTTCATCAATATCCATTTCTGAATCCCCGAGAGGCAAATTATATCACTATACCGCTTCATTTTCACAATCTTCCTATCTATTGAATAACAACTGTGGCAGAGAAGCAATACTTGGAAGATTAAGAAGTAGCTCTCCAACCGAGTCCTTCCTTGACATGGCTGGTGCCTGCTTGCAAATGAAAACATTACTGGCCTCTCCCTCAGGTGGGGGAAAACCTTCGACAAATTTGCCTTGACACACCGATGCAGTGGCTGAATTAGTTTCGTTTATTCTCCTATCATGATCCACATCAAGATAGCTGAGACTCTTTGCCTGCAAGTCCCAAGCTGTTGCAGGATCCTTCTGCAGTAGGCAGCAAAGAGAATTGACGCTTGACATGACGGATTGCTCATCCGAGGCTGACATAGCTTGAGAGTCTCCAAGCAAGTATTGAGTAATTTCATCTAGAATGTCACTGCTCTTTATGTCACCACCAGAGAGGCTAAAATTTCCAGAGGTCATCTGTTCTGAAATGCAATGTCCAATTTGGTTCACAAGGTCGCTCATTGAAATGGATGGATGAAGTCCGGGCACTTTAATCCGATCACAATTGCTTGGCAACTTCTGTTCTCCTGTTCTGTTGCTCCTAGTTTCTTCAAATGCATGGGTTTCCATTACTAGAAATGAGAGGCAGGTTAGAAAGATTGCAGTAGGCAAGATAAAGAGTTTAAAAACATAGCAAATAAATCCACAAGAAAGTGTTCTATTCCAGATACTGATCTTAATAATGTCAGCCATGAAGGTTTAACGGAAATATAGATCAAAAGATTTGACAGAGAAGAAAGCAATTTTATCACACAGTTAAACAAGATTAAAAGATGGCTCTTAAAGATACTAATGATGCTTAGTATAAGGAGCTTCCATGCCTGTACTAGGAGTGTCATTTCATACTATGATGGACCACAAACTTTTTGCGAAGACTTCACTTTAGTTTGACAGATGAATTACTCCCAGCTTCTATAAAACCTCGATCATATATAGCTTCTATAAAAGCTAGATCATATATAGTTGATTGACTGATTATTTGGAACCTTTGTCCAACAAGTATCTAATTGTAGCAGCTAGTATAACTAAAGTGCTTTAGTTCCTTCAGAATTTACAGCATAGATTCACATGACACGGGATCAATTTTTCCATTAACAATACACGTATTATTCCCAACTAGTCCAGATTCTGAACTACCGACTGTGAGGCAACTCTGGCTCCTCACAGTTATCAATGCACCACTGGAGAACTGTTTCAGTTAGTGATCATTGTTCATTCAAACTGCAAAAGATATATTGGCGGTTGCAGTCCACCATTAATTGGTTAAACAATAGACATTAAATCAGATCAGATACATCCGATTGCTTCTAAAGCAAAAGGCAGAAAATCAGATCAGATACATCCGATTGCTTCCAAAAGGCAAACATATAAGGGTTATTAGGATTAAGAACAGTAATGACAAGAGATGACAAGAGCAGAAAAGCTTTCACCATCATTTTCATCAATTTATTCAGATTTAGGACTATATCTTACCTAAGGTAGTTGAAGAAGTTTTCTGGGAAATATTTTCAGGAGGAGACTGACACGTTAAACCTTGGCATTCATTGTTCAAGGAAGATGAAAGAACTCCAGATGGTGGTCCTGCTTCCTGCAGAGCAAAAACAGCTGTTCTATCCTCAACTTCTGAACCAAGCCCTTTGCCAGATTCATGCAAGTCACTGAATGCAGAAACTCTTTGCGCAAAATATGGAGATTCTAATATAATTTCTAGCTGTTGACTAAGAAAGTTGAGACGAGGATCACATTGAATAAGTTTTTCATAATGCTTGCCCATGAAGCCTTGCTGGCAATGGAGAAAATGCCGCCTAAGTAAGAAGTCAGAAAATCAGCATTCAAGGTTTGAATCAAATGAAAGAGCAAAAAGTTAAGGAATTAATCATTAGAAGTGTCTTCTACACATTATAAACAAATTGAATCTTCCAGCAATGAAGTAATAAAGCTCTAGTTCACATCTTGGCAATGTGGTGGTAAGAAAAAGACACTTTATGGTCGAAGCCACACCATGTGGTGTACAGAGGAGAAGACTTGACCATGTTTATATTATGCAGAAGTCTCAAACAGAAGGGGTGATCCCTCCACATCAGATGGGCATAGGAGTATACTTTAACCAACACGAGGAGACAAATAACAGGGGTTTCCAGAAAATTATAAAATCTCGTACACAATGTGTGTTGCCATCTGACTGGATTTCAAATCATCTTAGAACACTGAGAAACCATCCAAAATATAACCAAAAAATCAATTGACTAGATGGACCCATCAATGCTCCAGATCCAATAGCCTGACATGATGCTAGATTTCCAATAGCCTGAACCAAGCTCATCCTATTCAGTCGAATGTTGAAAATTTTTAGCATCTCCCATAACATTACTGAAATGGAGAAACAAATTCAGGTGGCTGTGCCAAAAAAAAAAAACAATTAAAAAGAAATAAGGTCAAGCTCATTTTCAAGAGCACCTCAGTGAGAAGCCTCATCGTGAGGGTTCGTTTTGTTGCTTCTTAGGGTGAAAAGCACCCCCTAAACAAACCCCTGCCACATGTCGTGGAAATGAACATAAAAGATGAAAGAATAGAACCATAAATCCCTTTACAGGTTAGCAGAATCGTGGTGAATATTTAAAGCCACGTATGACAACGTGTTCATTTTTATAGACTAGCGTTTTTGCCAAGAAAGAAAAAAGGGAAAAGAAAATAGACACTAGATGATATAATTAAAAGCACAAATACTGTAACCACCAGATATTTCAATCCATAAGGCAATGAGCATAAGTAAATTCCCCTCAAATTCACAGCTTAAGCATAGTATCAGTACCTGTGTATGCTAGCTTGTCCACCAGTAAAATCTGATGTTGCCTGCCACAAAGTATGCTTCCTAGGTTGTGGATTTGTCTCTCTAAAGAAAAGGGGTTGTCTAGCCAGCTGCGCCAAACACATACAACCCTCCATCACCACCATAATTATTAAGATTACATGTGTCTTTGAGCCGTCAGATGGGGCATGTATTATACAAGCATATGATTTTGATCAAAAGAGAAGAAAAATACCACTACATCCAAGGTTTCTGGTCCATCATCAGGAAAATTTGCCTTGATAGCCACAATATCTGACCACTGAATTTCAATCTTATTCTTAAGACCACCATCAAGCACTTCCCAAACAAGTTTATGCTTAGCAAAATAACACTTTGCCACCAAATCCCCTTCGTATCTTGACTTACACTAATTAAAAAAAAATCAGAATTTAAAAATACGAAACGTATAAACACCGAATACTCAATTAAAAAAGTAAAGAGATCAATTTGCACACCTCCCAACTCCCTATTTTTAGAAGTGAAGCAGTAAAGTTTGAAGCTTTAAGCTTATCAGCAGCAGCACTGCTAGGTTTCTTTGACAACATAGTATTACTAGTGTTTTGCTGAGATAACTTCATTTGAATCAAATCCAAAAAAGATGGACTCTTTTTCAGTGTCAAGCCAATTGGACTTGGCTCTTCAAGTGGATTATACAGTACTGCATCTGGGTTCATCACCTGCCCTCAAACAAATCAATCAACCAACCAAGAAAACAAAACCTCATGATTAATCCAATCACAGAAACTCAAAACACACCAAAAGAGATAACAAATTTAGTTGTGTTTGGTTATTGAGAAAGTGAAAGAGAGAGATAGAGAGAAACCTGTAAAGAAGGATCAAGTTTTGAACGTTTGTGAAGTGGACTGAGTTGATCCTCCAAGGAATCATCAGCTTCCAGCTTCACTGCTGCTTTTCTGCTAAAGGAAGTCATTAACTGAACCATCTGAATCCTGCCCTTTTAGAAACTCAGTGGGTGAACTCTGATTCTTCTTTAACTAACAGAACCGAAAGCTCTCTCGTTTCTTCATCCAAAACTCTATGCTGAAACAATAACAAGTGTGCTTTCTTTTTATAGTGTTGTAGCAGTCACGTGCCTGAATGGCTGAATAGGATCGGCACGTGTTCATTCCGGTTAAATGGGAATTGGGTGGCTGCAAGAATGACTACTGTACCCTTCAAATGAGCAGTAGATGGAAGGTTGGTTCGTAATTCGCGTTGTTTGGGTGGGAGGAGATGCATCATGAGGTGCCTCTGTCACGTGACGGACACGTGCGCTGCTATTTTTGTTTTTGATAAATGTGGACCCGGTTCATGAAAGTTCTACACGAGTTGTCTTTTGTCGTTTTAGCGATATTTCCTAGAAAAGGAAGAGATGTGATTGGGTGGAGGTGAAACGTGTAAGAATCTGGTAGGGTTGGAGTGACAAGTATATTTTTATGTAAATGAGCATGCTTTGTGGATAAGAATTGCCAACTTGTACTTGCCATCCTTTGTTGACCACAATGTGTTGCCCGCGGCTTCCGGTGGGCCGAATAAAATTTTTTAAACACGTAAAAAATTAATAGGTTAAAAACATTTAAGTTTGAATTGGGTTAAATTAACCATTTAAATATTTTAGAAAAAACAATGACAAAAATTTAAAAAATAAATATACTTAAATTTATTTAAATTATCAAACAATTTAATACTAAACTGACTTAAAAAAATAAAATAAAAAAGTTAATAATAAAAAAAACATTAACTAAAAAAAATCAAATGAATCGCCTAAATCTAATCTAATCTAAAAAACTTGCAACTAATTAAATTTTAGACCTGATTTAAATCAAGAATTTTAAATGCCTTTCAATTTAATTTTAAAAGTTAAACTTATTGAAAAAACTATTAATAAAAAGATTTGCAAAGAAAAAAAATAGTAAAACAAAATAAAGCTAAAATCTAACATGAAAAGACACCTTAAGGATGAAATCTTAAAAAAATTTATATCAAAAAAATAAAAGAATTATGACCAAACTTGAAAGATTAAAAAACTATAGGGGAATTGAAATTTTTTTACAATATAATATATTATTTATAGATTAAAAAATCACAGCCGGTGAAATAAAATAAAAAATTTGTTGAGAGTTAACCTAATAGAATCAAACCAAAAAAATAAAAAAATAATTAAACCAAAAAAAATAATAAAACAAAAGTTTAAAAAAAGAGATAAAAAAAATAAGACAATATCAAGTTATAAAAAGGAAAAAAAATAAGACAAAACTCTTAAATCTAGTTTAATCTCTAAAACTCATATTTGTGAAATTATTTACCCAGATTCAATCAAAAACATAATTCTTAATCAATTTAATTTTAAAATATAAGATCTGTAAAAAAAAATTAATAAAAAACTATTAAAGCAACAAAAAAATTAAATATAAAATTTGATAGAAAAAAACCTAAAAAGAATGCAATTTAATGAAAAAAATAAAAAATAACCCTAAATAAAATAAATATCAATTAAAAAAATAAGTACCAAATTTTAAAGATTAAAAACATCATATGATAAAATTGAAAACATCTATAAAAACCAAGCAAACAAGACAAATATCATAAATCTCACACTGGAACATCGCAGTGACCATTTAAAAATTATCTCTCGATTGGAAAAAAAATTGATATTTGGCATCTTGTTTTTTTAGAGGAAAAGGTCTTGTTGAAGGAGTTTTCACCTAATATTATGATTACTAGGAACTCTAACTGGTCAATAGAGATTATATGATACGGGATTGATTGCGTAAAAGGAAAGATATTATCACCACTTAAGCATTCTATTTAAGGCAGATTTCATTGCTGATTTTGTTTAAAATTACTAAGAATTTGTTCCTTTTTTTTATTCATTCTTTTATATTCATGACTCTAGCGTCAGTAAACAATTTCTATGAATATTTTCAACTCTGGCATTGGTAAATATCACACAAATCCAAAAAATATGATACTCCTGACTACTGATGTCATTGAATATTTTCATAAAAAATAAATTTGAAGAAGAAATTTTCTATGTTATTTCTTTATTATTTATCTTTTATTATTATTTACTATGTTTAGATGGAAGCAAAAAAATATTGCAAGACATATTTGCATTTAACAATAATAGTCCATAGATTGAGCACATCTACAAAAAACAATACAAACACAAAGAAAAAATAAAACAAAGTACGAGGAACCCACAAATAAATTAACAAAGGTTCCCAAATTTTTTTGGAATTTTCTGCTATTAAAAAGGGGTTTATTTAGTCAAATATCAAATTAGAATATGCATAGAAATTATGATCAAGGTATAAGGGTGTGTTTTGCAAATCACATACTTAACAAACACAATTTGGGCAAGCTGAGCCTAAAGCACAGACTTGGCCCACTCTTTTTTTCTTTTTGGGCTGAATTTAACCTAGCTATGCGGGTTAGGCTAGACCCAGCCAAATTGGCTCGGTTACTAGTTCAGACCAGTAACCCAACCGGTATACTTTTCTTTGCAAGCGTGTGCGAGCTACTCGTCCACATTTGCTATAGGAAGAGGGTAATTAAAAGTGAAAAGAAGGGGAAAAATGTTTTACCTATTAGTGGACTGTTGTTACCAACTTCTTAAGTGAAAATTAATGCAAACGCTCGTTCCTGGAAAAACTAGTATTGTTTCTTCTGCATTTTGTTTTCCTCCCCCTTTTTTTTACGCACATCGAGATCTGTATTTATAGTGTCAAAGTCCCTTCGCATATGAGAAAAAAAGTTTCAATTAAATTCATTCTTTTTTTTGAAGTTTGAATTTGATTAAGAATTAAATTTAAAAACAGATAATTACATTATCTTGAAGATAAGGATTATCTTGAAAATAAGAATAGAATGGAAAACATACATTATAGTCCTTAGTTTTCATGCAAGTTGACAAATTATACTTTTCATCAAAATAAATCTCTGATATTTTAATTTGATATTTTAAACCCTGTAAAATTAAATTAAAAGGCTAATAAGCCAAAATTGAGTTACAATACTAAACATGGTGTAATTTTTTAAAATTCACAACCTATGAAACTCTAGATCCGAGTTCTATTATGAAATTTATTATAAGTTAATTTAAATATATAAATTTTAAAAACTTGTTAAAGCAAAAAAAAGATAGCAAAAAAATCTCAAATGAACCCAACAACCAACCCAAGTTAAAATATCAAACACGTAACTTAGGACATGAAATTAGGATAAACATATAAATAGAAAAGAAAAAAAACTTAAAAAAAAATAAAAGTTGATTCGGGCTAATCCTCAAGATTTGTTACCTGAGTTATGGGATTTGGGTGACCCCGTTAAAGAAAAACTTGAAAAAACAAAGAAGTAAGATTTTTAATCAAATAAATATTGGTATGGGGATTAGTATAATTATAAACCAATAAAACATCATTTAGTTAGCTATAGTTTTTTTTTTGTACTAGATATTAAATGTAATTATATTTTAAATTTTAATTTTGTAGAAACTAAAATAATCTATTTTTTATTTATAAAATTTTGCCTTTCATTTATTTTACAAGCAAAAATTTATCTCATAATAATTTTAATGAAACACATTTTTTAAAGCCCACTTTTTTATAAACGCAATTAAAATTTTTTCCTTAAACCTTTTTTTTTTAATCACAACCATCAAAGTTACATAAGTTCAATTATACTCGGATTCAAAGCCTGACTGACATTGTGTTTATGAAAAAACATGATATTTTTAATAAAATAATATCATTTTAGGGTTTTTTTTTAACAGTTAAGTTAATTGAGGTCAATCCACCTTACTTTGCAAGGATCAAGGTTTTTTTTTTTTTACTTAACTTGTTTTTGAAAATACTTTTTGCCGTAAAAAATATTAAATTGGTGTTTTTTTGAGTGCTTTTTGATTGTTTTAATATGTTAATGAAAAAATAAAAAATATATATTATTTTGGTGTATTTTTTAATTAAAAAACACATTTGAAAAACAATATGAAGTGTATTACCAAACACATACTAAATCAACTAAAAAATGATAACTATATCTTTCTTTCTTTTCATTTTTTTAAAAAGACTAAAGAATACTATAAGATTAATCAAATTCAAATATCAGGATAAAATATTTGATTGTAGATTAGTTTGTGTATGTGTTTATGCTGATGTGGATTATAGGATTTTGAAAATAGGATAAGAAGTTTAAACTCAAAAATAAAATTCAAACTCCATATATGTTGTTTTTTAAAGGATTTTGTTATTACTAAAATGCAAAATGAAGAATTAAAATTTAGTAAAAGCTATTTACTTTGGATAATATTGTTTATGTATGAAAATAAGTTAGAAGTTGAAAAGGATTTTCAAGGGATGAAAATCCTTATTGTTTAAGATTTTAGCTATAAAAGAGGGGTTATTGTAATTGTTGATTTTGAGTCTTAAAACAAAATAATTTGGAGTTAATTTTTCATAAAAGTTGTTTTTCTATGTTTTAGCCTTTTATAAAGACAAATGAAGCCCAAAATAGAGTTTTGCAGCTTTAGTTATGATAAAAATACTAAATAGTATTCAGAGTTGGTTAAGTTAAATCGATCAAAATTATATAATTTTTAATCTTTATTTGGAATCACTGTGGAGTGATGATTTTAATAACAAAATTATAACAATGAATATGAAATGAGGAAGAGTATGGGATCCTAAGAAAATTCCTTGTGATTGGTTTAAGAATACTAGTTAAATGAGAATTAAATAAAGATGTGATGTTGGTTGTATTATTGATAAAAACTGGATCCTTGGTATTATAGGGGAAGTTGTGGGAACTGGACAATTACTTGAAGTGACAACATGTGTATCTATTTTAGGTAGGTGATTTATCACCTTATTTTGTAATTATTAGTTTTCCTTAAATATTTATGTTATTTATCTAATTGATGTTAAAAGAATAAAGCAAATGAATAAGTTGAGTGATTATATCAAATGAGAATTATTGGTACTTTATGAGAAATTATCGAAATTATTTGGTTAACAAAAGAGGTTAGTCGGATGCTAGGTAATTCATATGGAATTACTAGATTGACTATAACAACCAAAATGGG